TTCCAAACATGTATGGCAATTGGACATTAGCCATGACATCCCAATGCACTATTGTTGGGCTTATATTTTGTATGCCTTTTTTAAAAAACGACTGTTTCATTTTTCTACTGATTTCTTTTTAGTTTTTTTTGTTTGTTTGCTCGTTAAAGAAAGATTTTACTATAGAGTGCATGCACTCACCAGAAAGACAGAGACAGAAAGTGATAAATCACTCCCCAAGGGGATAACCACGCTACAATCCCTTCTCCTCCATTCTCCTCTTGGGATTTTGGGTATGAGTTTCAAGCCTCTGGGTCCAGGACTCAAACGACAGTTGGTCATGTGGGAGTCCAGCAATGTAACCATTATGCCATCTGCTGGTCCCCTTTTTAGTGTATTTTACAAAAGTATTACTTGTGATAAAGTAGGTGGGTTGGGGGGTGGGGCTGGTCCATCACCCCAGATAGTGAGAAGCACTTACCTGGACCTCAGTCAACAGCATATATAGCCACAAGGCACATGTGACTGGCATATGCTTGACATAAACAGATGGAGTCATCTCTTGAATGCATTATCCATACGGCCATTTTCTTGACTTTAAAAAATAAATTGCTATTAAACATTTATATGCATATTCAAAGATTTAGTCTATTTATTTAGTTACTTGCTTCCATGAGAGAAAGAAAAAGAGACATCGTCCCAACAGTGTCCTGACACTATGATCCACCTCCGGGCCTAGGCTGGGGCAAAAGCATGCCCAGAATATTCAAGGTTGTCTTCAGATGAATCTGAAAACCTCCCATGTGGGTCAGCCTCGTGGAGTGGTGTTTTAATGGTATGCCACTGTCCAGCCCCAACTAACTTTTTTTTTTCTTCTAAATGATGGCAATAAAGGAAACAGAAAGAACATGGGCCCTGGAAGCAAACACCCTGGGAATCAAATTCTGGTTCCACCACTTCAGCTATATTATGCCCTCCAGCAACCCTCTCTTGTCACCTTTGAACCTGTCCTCCATTATAAAATGGAAATAACACTAAAACATATCAGGGTGGTAGGGCTGCGGGTGGCATGGTGGATAAAGTGCTGGAGCCCACATAGAAGGTGCCTCGGATAGAGCCCGATGGATGGCTCTTCAGTAAATGTTGGTGCCCTTCCTTTCTTCTGTCGATCAAAATGGAAGAAAATTTGATGAACTTTTTAAGAAAATGGACCACATCTAAAAAACAAAGAATCTCTCAAATTATTAGGTCGTTGGAAATGTCATAATGCATTTTTGCATAGAAAAACAGAAAAATAATGTCATGACTTTTCCAATGACCCAATGTTTACATAAACAAAGAGAAGCAATTCCACTGAAAGCATCTTCCAAGGTTTATCTAGTAAACATGCAAGGGAGCTTCAAAAAATTAGTGGAAAAACAGTGGGATTTAAGTATGAATTTATTTGGTTCAAAAAAGAATTGGAACCCACGCATTTGTTGGTAATGCTCATTTCCGTGAACTTTTTGAAGATCCAATGCATGTTTATCCCAAATTTCCGATGAGCTACCAAGGTATCCTATTCAGAGATTATAGAAAAAGTATGCAAAGTTGTCTTCAAAAACCAACTTGAGGAACTTGCAGGTGGCATGGCAGATATCATATAGCCAACATTTGATTTTTTTACTCTAGCAGCTTAAAAAGCACTCTGGGAACATGTGCATGCCCCAAAAATCCTGACAAGGAGGAGGACTAGAGGAAAAAGAATTGCTGTATGACCACGGCCTATCCGGGGTGCTTTCTCTTTCCCATCTCTATTTCTTTCTCTTTCTTTCTCTCTCTTTGGTGCGTGTGCGTAATGTCCGTCTTCTGGTAGTTTAAAAAAAAACCTGTATGGGACAGGAGGTGGCATGGTGATTACGGCGTTGAACTTTCACAGGGCCAACCATGATTCAAGTCCCAGGCCTGGTGGCTTGAAGATCACACCAGGCTTGTATGCATGCATGTTCAAGGTGCCAGGCAGAGAATGGATTGCAGCATGGCCATCCCTTCTCAGGGGTGAATTCTCACTTTCCCTCTCTCTGTCTCTCTCCAGAGAATGCACACACCCTATGGAAAAAATCTAAAAACAAAATAAAACAAAACAAGTTGTACATCTCTAACTTTGAGGAATAATCACACACAGAATAACATATTTCTCTACAATCTTATGTTATTTCTCTAAGACTGCAGAAAGTCACCATTAAAAAGAAGACTCACCAGATGCGGGCCCTTGACCTTGGACCCCCCAAAATTTATGCTAAATAAACCTCTACTGGGGGACCAGCAGGTAGCATAGTGGTTAAGGCACTGGACTCCCACATGGCCAACCATGGTTCAAGTCCTGGACCCAGCAGCTTGAAAATCATAGCAAGCACTTACGTATGCATGCTCAAAATCTCAGGAGGAAAACAGAGAAGGGACTGTCACATGGCCATTCCTGCCGGGAGTGGGGAGGTGGGGGGGCAGTGTGATTTATCATGTTTCCTCTCAAGTCTCTTTTCTCTCTGGCAAGCTCACGTGTTCTATGGCAAAAACCTTAAAAATAATATAAGCCTGTACTATATAAGTTTCCTAGTATGGTAGTCAGTCATTAGTGACAGAAAAGCAGATTAAATCATCTATTTCAGGGACCATCAGGTGGCATGGGGATTAAGGCTCCAGACTCCTACATGGTTAAACTAGGTTCAAATCCTGGACTCAATGGCTTGACGATCACATTAGGCCCATGTGCATGCATGCCCAAAATCCTGAGAGGAGAATGGAAAAGGGTTTGCAGCCTGGCCATCCCCCTTAGGGAGTGATTTCTCACTTTCCCTGCCTCTGTTTCTCTCTGTGAACACACAGGTCCTATGCAAAAACCTAAAAAATAATAATCATCTATTCCAAACCTCTTGTAGTTCAAAAGTATGATAATTTTTCATATTTTTTTAAAAAGTCATAAATTCAGATATCCTAAATGTCAGATGGATACTCCTCTGTAATTCAGCCTTTAGTAGTATTGGCAAACTTTTTTATTTTAATGATTAACTGATTTTATTACAATGACTCAATGACTACCACTTTTGAACATAAAATAAGTGTAATAAATCAAAATCAGCCTTCTTTATTGAATACAAAGAAAGCATGCAGGTGCCTATGGTGACCATCCATACCAGCATATAAAGGCAACAGAATAAATAAACCACTGACATAGGCTCAGAATTATTTCAGTTGCAAATTCTACTTTGGATCTGGTTTAGTTAAAAAGGTCCGCTCTTTATGAGATAAAACCTCATCTTACAAGAGCTAAAATATTCTAATACTGCCTCAATATAATTTTTAAAATGCTTTAATATTGATCATTATGTCTTGGAATGATGAGTCTAACATTGTTGGCAAACTTTCAACTCATTCACAAGTTTTGGGGAATGTGTAAAGTGTGTCTTAAAAGCTTTCAAAAGCAGCATTTAAAGGCTATGAACATTTCAGCATGGGCACCTGCATCGCTTCTCACCCCCACCTCCAGCATCCAGTCCAGCCCGCTAACAGCAGGGAGCTTTGTAAGGCATCTGGCATAAGCAACAGCACAACAGAGGGTTCTGTTATCCTCCTAACTGCCCACCTGGGCCAACTTTCAGCCATGTGTGAAGGGCACAGCCATTTTACTAAATGGTCAGCTGTTTAAAGTCTTTAAAAAAAAAAAGGGAAAGAAAAAAAAGGGAAGAGGGAGGTGAGAAAGAAAAAGGAAGGGAAGAAGGAAAGAGGAGACAAATGTCTCAGCTATCTGTATTGCTTAATGGGGATCAGAACTGTGATCTGTGCCATAATAAAACCCCAAATCAAATGAAAACATAAATACACAAAGAATATCACAAATGACTTTAATGGTTTAGCTGCTCCCAGTACTCACACAACAAGGCACTGACAAATCCATGATTTCCTCCCAAAAATACACATGAAAAACAATATCCTAGGAGACTGTTTTTCTCCTTACGCTGTCTTCATGGCAACGGTTACGCTGGCTTGTTGGCCCTCTGGGACATGATTCCCCCCTTCTGTGGCACCTCTTCACCCTGGCTGAGGGAAGGCCCAGGGGCTGAGCCGGCTGGGCTCCAGCAGACTATTCACGTGGTAGTCATGCACCCGTACTGCGCAAACTGCCTCTTGGGAGGTAAGCTCGGTGAGCATAGCATTAATACATCTGACACATTTATAATATATCACTGATAAATATAATTAGAAAAAAGGTTAAACTGTAACAAAAATGACATTAGCACTTCTGTTTATACTTGTAAAACAGTTATCAAAAATCGGAGTGAAAGATAATTCTTTGATTTTTAAAAAACAGTCTGTAAAGGCACTTGTTGAACTTAATGGCTTTTTACTTGAAAAAAGCAAAGACCCTAGTATTAAAAACGGTTTGGCAAAAATATATCTGTAAATACAGATACAATGATTTGAAGAAGAAATATCTTTTGAAAATCAATCTAGAAAGTTCCAAATGGGTAGCCATGCTCTTATTCAACAATTTAGAAAGGCTATCCTGAACTTGGCTTGGGAAAGCAACAGTGCCAGAATTCTCTTGTATGTCCCTCTGCCATAATAAGTCTTCTGGTTAAAGGGGATTGTAAGTTCATTATGCTCTTATCATAGCAAAAAAGCCTGATGCAATTATTAGAGTTATTAGCAAGCTCTAACTCTTAGATTTGTTTTGCCATGTTCAAATCTTTTCTCAGATCTATGTTTAGGCTCCTTTCCTCAGCATCAATGATCACAGTCCTTTGTTTCACTTCATTGTTTAACACAAAAAGTCAAAAAAAAAAAAAAGATTTGCTCTCTGCAAAAAAAAAAAAAAAAAAAAAAAATCACAAGACAGCAGGTGGCATCGCGGTTACATCACTGGGCTCTCATATGGCCAGTTGTGGTTTGATTCCCAGACCCAGTGGCTTGAAACTCATGCCAGGTATGTGTGCATGTGTGCCCAAGATCCCAAGAGGAGAATGGAGAAGGAATTTTGGCATGGCCATCCCCCCTGTGAGGGTGATTTCTCACTTTCCTTCTCTCTGTTTTTCTGTCTCTTTCAGTGAGTACATACATCCTCTGGCAAAAACTTAAAAAGAAAAAAATAGAGAGAGACTCAACTCAAAATGTCACAAATGTTTAAAATGCTTTCAATTTCAAAACATAAAAAATATATATTATATACACATATACACACAAAAATTAGAGAAATCTAACTTCTAACCCTATGTATGTATATAAAAATCTCATCAAAATCTTAAAATATAATCTTATAAAATGTTTCTCTTTATCACAGTTATTAAATGGCTATTTGGCCATTATTAAAAAATAAAATAGTCACCAAGATTGTGAGACCCAAGGCTATAGAGAATTGGCTCCTCATCTTAAGTCTACAGAGGTCTTCTACTACCTGAGAAATAGGACACAGTAGGGCTGAGTTACCAGTGCTGCCTATAGTTTTGCGGTCTTGAAACAGTTATTTCATCTCTTCAAATCTCAATTCTACCACGATTAATTAGCGTTTTCTAAAAAACTTGTTCCAAGGACTATTCACTTCATCAAAAAGTGTTCTGCGGTCAAATTAAGACAGAAACTGGTGCACACAATTTCTTCCCCTGAAGAGATTCACAATGTTCACTGGTATCATTAAAGGCTCTGAAAAGTCCTGCAGTATATTTAACTCTGTATCAATCTTAGTTGACCTCAGATCCTTTTACACTTATCAGCAGCTCATGGACTATCTTTAGACTAGTCTAGAGTATCTCGAGCCTCTTCCTGCACTTAGATTGAGGGAATGTAAGGACAGTAATGCAGAATCTTCTGACCAATGTTCAGAGAGAATTGAGGGAAAACTTGCTATCTTAGAGTTGACAAGATACTTATTCATGTCCTGGCTCCTTGAAGAACAACACAATTCCCTTTCTTCTAATGACAGTCTCATCCAAGGAGTGGTAGAGACTCTTTCACAGCATCTTGGTGTCTGCCTACAGAGCAATACGTTTCAGAACTTCCCGGAGGTAATGCTATTCAGTGTAGGTTAGTTTTTTTCTCTCCTGATGACTTCTTTTTCCAATAGCAAATATTTTTGCCATGAGATCCTGCCTAACTTTACCAGGATCCCTGCCCTTTACCCACTTCCTTGTCCAGCATGAAGTAAATGTCAGGCGGTCCTCAGGTTAAATAGCTGCTCTTCTAAGAAAGCACCTCCGAGGCCATACTGTTCTTCATGCAGACTAATTTCTTCAGGTGACAAGTGGCTTCCTCCAAGAACAAAGTCTGCAAACCTAATAAGATATGTTTTGGTTTTAAGCACAGTTAATGTTAGCACAGAAAGTTCATTTGGAAGATAACATGTCCCCTTGCTACTTATTCTCTTTCATTAAATTTGACGTTGTGTCAATAGAGGATGGCATTTACACAGTGGGTGTAAGAATGAGTTTGGCTTACGTGATCCTTCTAGAGAGAGCTATTTAGGGAATGGGTAGAGAAGTAGGAGGACAGAGAAGCATCAAGTGCAGCCAAATGTGCCCACTCCTGTTTTCTAATTCCTTCTCTCTCTATTAGTTTCTATGTTTCATTCAGTAATCATTTTAGTGTCAAATACTTTCCCCCCATTGATTTTAATTTGAGGGCAGTATTATTTGGATAAAGTTATGAAGAAGGGAAAGCAGTAATGAAAAATGTTGGGGCAGATACATCTGTCTTGATGAGCTTTTAAAATAATTTCCCAAGACTAGCAGATGGCATAATGGTTATATCGCTGGACTCCAATATAGTCGACCGTGGTTCAAGACCTGGGCCTAGCAGCTTAAAACTCATGCTGGGCCCATGTGCATGCATGCCCAAAATTCCAAGAGGAGAATGAAGGAGAGGGATTGTAGTATGGCCATCCCCACCTGGGGTGGGGGTGGGGTGATTTCTCACTTTACATCTCTCTGTCTCTCTGGTGAACGCATGTGCCCTATAGAAAAAATCTCTCTTAAAAAAATAAATAATTTCCCACACCAGAATAATGAGAAGCAAGTCACACATCCCATTCTGCTTTTCTCCTCCTTGTTCGGAAGTTATCAGACCCACATTTATTCTGCATTAGCAGTTCTACTGTGTAACAATACATTAGAGTACTGAAGAAATTAGCCTCTGAACAAACTCCTCATCACTTGTCAGCCAGGGAAGCAATCTGTTTCTAACCAGAAGTGCCTATATTGATCCAGCATGTTTTCACAATAATTCTAACCCAAGAACAACACAATTGTTGGAGAATCCCACAATAACCCCAGCTGCTATGGTCCAAACAGCTGAGCAGAGCTTACTTTTTAGGAGCATAGAGTCTAGAGATGGCCAGCCATGCTGGGAAGTCAGGTCTGCGGCAGGCCTGGCGCAGTTCCTCCAGAGCTCTGGTCGTTTCAGCATCCGCTTGTTCCCTGTATTCATCTTCAGTGAGATACCTCACTACCAGCTTTTCTGTTGTAAACCATGGCTTCATTTTCCTAAAACAGGTGGCATTTGGTTGCTAGGGTTCTGCCCAATCCAATCCTTAAGATTTACAAAAACACATTTCTTAGACAGTAACTATAATAGTTCTTAACTTTTGTTCTATCACATCTATACTTTGTTATTGTTATCATGACTGAGGCATAGGGCCTAAGAGTACATTTCCCTGCTTCCTAGACTATCATAAATAATGTTCTAAGGCCTTTGAGAATCAATTTCTTTTTCTTTTCTAAAAAACTTTTGCCAGAAGCTACATGCGTGAGGGAGAGGGGAAGAGAGAGAGAGAAAAAGTGGGAAAGCACCCCACCCCCACCCCATGGAGCATGGTCACACTGCAATCCTTTTCCCATTTTTTCTCCTTTGGGATTTTGGGCACACACCCATTTTTCAGGGCCAGGACTCTAAATGTGCTGTTGGCCACATGAGATACAATGGCCTTAGTCATCAGGCTACAGGCTGGCCTAAGAATCAGTTTCAGATAGAGATGTTCACTGTACTTTTCTTCCTGGTCCCAATTAAATGTCAGACAATTAAAAGTCTGGCTCCCTCGTGCTTGGCCTGCTAACTTTAGGGGGGCACTGGTAGAAGCCAGCCTTTGATATATCCTTTTAGGGAGCAGAACACTCACCACTTTCTAGACCTAGAAGCTCGGAGGATTTGTGGGATGTCACTTCCACCTAGTGGTGGTGGTTCTGACTAATCCTAGGGAGAAAGAGTGAGGACTGAACAAAGGTCTTTTGTGTACACTACCTTCCTTCCCTTCACACTAAAGGGCTTGTGATTATAATTTCATTTTGCCAAATAGGAGAGTCTTCAATCTCAACGGATATAGATTCTAAAAATTTAGAAATCTGAGAATCTCATAAAAATGATAATACTAATAAAGTTCAAAAACATTCATGTTACATTTATCAATGAATTAAAAATGTTCTGAGGCAGTTTTAAGTTGAATTTAGCCAAAAATTTCCAAATCTAAATAAGCATCAGAATTACCAAAAGGTTATTAAAACACATCAATTTTCTTGAAAGCTGAGACCTAAAATAGCTTTTAAAAATCATCTCCGGGTTGATAAGCAGAATTAAAGAATCATAGATATTAATTCCTTCATTTCCTTTTCTGAATACCTAACTGCAATTTTTCCAGAGGATAACCCTGGACTCTGAGTCTGAAGACTGGGTCAGAGTTCAGGTTTTGAGGTTTACTCACTGGGTGAACTTGGGCAATTCCTTATTTGTTTGAAAAAAAAAAAAAAAAAAGAAAGCAATAATGTCTATCTCATGAGATCCCTGTACAGACTGAGAGATTTTGTGTAAAGTTCTTAGCACAGTGGGGAGCCTATAGTAAATGTATAATATGGATAATTATAGCATACCAGTTAGTATTAAAATAAATACAAACAGTTCTTTGAAAACCAGAAAGTACTAGATAAAATCAAGGTATTTTTCTGTGGCGTATCATTTAACCTACAAGGTCTCATTTTATTAGGTAGTTCTTCATATCATTATTCATTAGCAAAATGTAAAGTTGACTATTACAAACACACAAGTGTAGAAAAGAATTGCCATCACAGGTGACAGAACACACTCTGCTCCTGGCAGGGCAGCTGGGTGGTTACAGGGAAAGAAGAAGGACTCCTGTCCTGGACTCCTCAGGCCTAGATCTGGCAAAGGGACAGGTGTCTGGGGCCTGGGCCCTGTGCAGTGGCCAGCCTCCTGACAGGGAGACATTTGGCAAACCTAGACACTGTCTTCCTCCAGCAGATGGGCAAAGAGAAACCATCAGAACCTCTTTTCCTCTGCCCTACTGCCTTTCAGCCTCCCCAGCACAGTGCAGGTGCCCCTTCTGTCACTGGCACATTTTTAACTCTGTGGCATTTCCACATGCAGTCACCAGAGTCTCTTTCTTCATAGCCAGTTTCACCTCCTAAACATTCATTAACTCCCTCCTTCAACATTTATCTCTCTCCAGGCCCTCATGAGCTCTTGCCTGGACCACTGCCGTGTCTGATGACAGTCTTCTGCTCTAGGACCTGCCCCGTAGACCCACCCTCTATACCAGAAGAGGACCACATCCCATCAGCCAATGAGTATTCTTGGTTTTTAATTGATTTTTGCTTAGTGAATGTATTTGTTTTTAATCAGATAAGCTTCCAATATCTAAAAATCACAAGAATTCCCACTGTAATCATCATGTACTTTTTCAGCTTTTCTAGAAAACAGGAAGATCTGGCAATGCAGGACCCGTATTCCCATATGGCAGCAACCAGCCCAAGCTGGGTAATAGAACAAGGCTACACTGTAGACTTTCCTGCAGTCCCCATGGTCACCCCACTGCCTCACCCCTGCATAGCAGCTCTCACTATAGTACCTGCCTGGGCCCTGAGCATTTGGAAACATAGCTCCTGCCTAGGCAGTCAGTGAGCTAATTACAGCGCCTAATAGTTCTATACACTACCTGTGCACAGGACTGGGGTGGCCTCCTTAACTTGGCCTGCAATGTCTCCATGACTTGCATTGATAACACTGCCTGACTTACAATGGTACCTGACTATCAGGAGCGCTTGCCACATTTATTCATCTGGCTATTTTGATTCCCTCTTTAAAATCTGACCCAGTAATATCTCCTCCAGGGGAGTTTTTCTGAACACCCTCTCTCCCCCCAGTCCCTGATCAAGCCTCTATTTTAACATTGAAGATACAGACATGTATGCCCATGTCTTAGGAAGTACACCTCAGAGGCATGGAACATTTCCAGATCTGCGTGCCTGAGATGAAAACATATGCTCAGACTCGATGGCTGAAGGGAGAGACAAAGCTGTGACAATATGGGTTACTTCATCTTTCTTTCTGTACTTTCAAAGGTGGGTTATGCCTTAACTTAAACCCTAAGAGAAAAGAAAACTCTAAATATAAATAATGCCTTTCAATGATTTATAACTCATTTCTGTGTTTAACTCTTTTTTCTTTTTCTTTTTGAGAGGTTTTTGCTATAGGGTGCATGCCTCGCCAGACAGACAGAGAGAGACAGAGAGACAGAAAGCAAGAAATCACCCCCCCAGGGGGGATGGACACACCGCAATCCCTTCTCCTCCATTCTCCTCTCGGGATCTTGGGCACGCAAGCACATGCGCCCAGCGTGAGTTTTAAGTCACTGGGTCCAGGACGCGAACCGCAGTCAACAACATGGGAGTCCAGCGACATAGCCATTATGTTAACTGCTGGTCCCTGTGTTTAACTCTTATAAGCACAACTAATACCACTAATGCAGTCTTGGCTCTAATAAAATAGAGGATAAAAATAGAAATTTCAAGTAAGTTTGCCCCTGATTTTATTGAATTCTGGGGGTGTTCTAAATATGTAACAATCAATGTACACCTCTGAAAGACTGATAAAAACTAGAAATAAAGATGGGACCAGATGCTTGAAGCTCTCTTTCCTCCCCTTCTTCCTGAGTGAAATCATATCAAATGTAGTTAATTATGAGTTTACAGATGACCCATCCAAAATATCCCCCAAAACGATAAATAAAATCAATGTTCAATATGTCATATTGTTGAGTGTACTAGTAAAAACAATGATAACGCACCACCTGATGTAACTGAAAGCTTTCAGCGGATAGTACAGACTCTGGGAGCACAGGAGGAGCACCATGACTGTATAGGCAAACTGAGGCACAGCCACACCAGCGTAGACAAGGACCAGGGAGAGGACCCGCAGCGTCCACATCAGAAGACTTCTGTTCCTGTCGTCAACGAGGGGCCCATGTGTGTAACAGACGGCAAAGCTGAAAAATCCAACTACCAAAACATAGACTGGAAAAGCAGAAGATAAAATAATGTAAATCTGAACTAAGTGCCTTGACTTAATGTAAGAACAGATCTTAATTTTTTTCTTCTTTTTCCAATGAGTAAGGTTTAAAAAAAAAAAAAAAAAGGTAGATAGGGCTATTCTTCCCATAGCAGATAGTAGGCTGATCTTTCTAATAATCTGGGATGTATAATAATGATTAATATAAAGTCTTATATGGGCAAATCTTATAGTGGTGGTTTTGGTCAGGAATGTCACAGTGAATCACAATCCTACAAACCCTATTGTTTATTTTTACCTTCTGTTACAAGAGGAAAATGTAACTTTCCAGTAGAGAGATCAGGCAGTCACCCTCCCAATACAGTGTTCAATCTCACCACGACTAATGATAGAACTATAAATAGGGGATATTCCGTGGTGCCTGTGTTTCGCTCCTGTTGTGAAGGACACTCCTGTGTACTTCAAGGTGAAGGACACATCACCTCTTAAATATTCCATCACAAAGTGTTTGATTTGTATACAAGAAACCTTCAGATCTAATTTCCAATTTACAGGAAACATACCGGAGCCAGGAATAATTTAAATTACACCACAAAAGGGTCATCAGATAAATCTGGAAAGCACGTATTCTTAAGGACAACAGGGATGGTTTCTTCAGCCTACTGCTACTATGATAATAAGAGAAACTGTCATGGATTAAAAGAGATTTACAGGACATACAGATGCAAAACATGGCTCTAGACTATATCTTATTATATAAGCCAGCCATCAAGGATGATTGGGAGATTTTTAACCTAGACAGGAAAATACATGATTTTATGTAATTATTAATTTTTTTAGATTGAAGAGTTGATTATATAGAAAAATGTTTTTTAGAGATGAGTGGTAAAGTATTTAGGAGAGTATACTATGATATTTGTAATTTTCTTTAAATATACTTTAGCATTAAAATGAGGGGGCAATAGGTGGTATAGTGGTTAAGGTACTGGACTCCCACCTAACCAACCATGGTTTGAATCCTGGACCTGATGGCTTGAAAATCATGCTGGGTGTGTGAGTGTGTATGTGCCCAAAATCCCAAGAAGAGAATGGAGGAGAAAGGACTGTGGCATGGCCATCCTCCCTTGGGAGTGATTTCTCAGTTTCTCTCTCTCTCTGTCTCTCTTTCTGGAAAGTGTACTCCCTACAGCAAAAAAAAACAACAAACAAATGAACAAAAACTAAGTAATAAAAGGACAATGAGCCAAAAAACATGAAATTTTCAAATAGAACAAAAAATTAATTGCTTTTGTTTAGGGAAGGGTAGACATACGTAAATTTCATGTTAAGGATTAGGGAAAAAATTAACTTTCCCATTGTCCATTAATTCCTACTTAAAACAAGCAATTTTTAAAAATTAGAACACAAAACAAGAAAAACATGATTTTTTTTTAGTTTTTCTGTTTCTAAAAAGTCGAGTTTTAATTAGTCATTTATATTTCAGATTGCTAACCTTTCATACTGAATACATTCAGAAATAGAGTCACACTTTAGAGAAACTTTTCTACTACCAGTTAGATGTGGTTAGAGCTTAACCACAATGCAGAAGTATGCATAGTCAAAAGGAACAAATACATTTTTTGCCTTTTTGTTCATTACTATAAAAAACAAATATGTCAAAGGGAAATTGTCTAAAATGAGATCTTAATTAACTGAAATAACCAACTGTTGAAAAATAAACAAAATGCTATTTTTAAAATGAGGGCTCTGCAAAATGTTTGAGGAAGACCTGGCCAGTGGTGTGGTAGTTAAGATAGCTGGATCTCACAAGGCCTTCTTTGGGTTTGAATCCCAGACCCAGTGGCTTGAAAAACATACCAGATGCATGTGCATGTGTGCATACCCAAAAACCTGAAAGGAGAAATGGAGAAGGGACTATGGAGTGGCTATCCCCCATAGGAGGTGATTTCTCATCGCACATGCTCCCTCTAGTAAAAAGATAAAAGAAAAAAAGGTTCATGGAAAATGTATATTATGAAAAAAAAAAAAACTATGCATGGATTTTTAAATATTTTTGCAGGGCCAGGTGATAATGCAGTGGTAATGCAACTTGACTCACATGAGGAAGGTCCTGGATTTGCATCTTGGGACTTCCCTGAGCATCCTGTTCAGGTGCCTGTGATCAAGACTGGCTAAGCCTGGGGTAGGTTTTGGGGATGCTTGTTTAATCTGTCTCTCTCTCTCTCATGGAATAAATAAATAAACTTAAAGGGGGAAAAGGGCACTGGTGGCATAGTGGTGAAGGTATTAGACTCCCACATGGGTGATCATGATTCGAGTCCTAGACCTGGCAGCTTGAAACTCATGTTTCATGCATGTCAGTGTGTGCCTAAAACCCTGAGAGAAAAATGAAGGAAAAAGATTGTGGTGTGGTCATCCCATCTCAAGGGTAAGTTCTCACTTTCTGTCTCTCCAGCGAGTGCACATGCCCTACAATAAAAATCTCTCTCTCTTTCTCTTAAAGAAAAAAGGTACTAAGAAACTTTTGTAGGTGAAAACATATCTTAAAAAAATGTTTTCTGGGGGGGTCGGTAGGTGGTGTGGTCACCCACATGGCTGACCATGGTTCAAGTCCTGGACCTGGAAGCTTGCTTTCTCGCTTTCCTTCTCTCTCTGGTCAACTTCAAATTAAATAAATAAATTAATTAATTAATTAATTAATTAAATAATGACAATAAATAAAAATAAAAGAATTCTTTTTTAAAAAAATGTTTTCTGGCACAAAATAAGCAAAAAAAGTTCATACTTTAATTCCATTTTCCATGAACTTTCTAAAGTTTCCTCATAGCACCTCTCCTTAGTTCAACATGAAAATTTACTGAGTCTTTGGAAATGTCATGACACATTTTTGCGTAGTAAAAACAGAAAAGTACGTCATGACTTTTCCGAAGACCAACAGATGCTGAAGAGAAACAATGTCAAAAAAGGCCCTCTAGTTGTATTTTCAGTTTTATCAATAACAGAATGTACTTTTTATTTTTTACATTTACCTACCTAATACATATAGTCTGTTTTCATACCACAGCCACTTCAGATCTTCCATCAACTGGCATACAACATAAACTGAGGCAAACCAACAACCAACCATTAGAGCCCCAAAGGTGCTATACTGTATGCGGAAGAAAATAAATGACACGTTTTTTGTTCATTCACTCATAAAAAATAGAAGCAAACAAACCCACTCTACTAGAAACTTCTACACCAAACTGAATTGAAGTCAGTTTAAGATACTCGCTAGAGTCTTTGTACTCAAGGTATGGTCCATGAAGCAGCAGGAGCGACATCACCTGGGAGCTAGGATGAATGGCAGACTCTCAGGCCCTACCTCAGGCTGCTGAATCAGAATCTGCCTCTTAATAAGATCCTCATGGGGCTTGAATTTACATTACAGTTGAAGAAACACTGTATAAAGAATAAATTTATCTCATAATAGTGCTTGTGTTGCAAGCTTTACTCAAGAGTAACTGCAATATTACCATCATGAATTAATATATTCTTTTAACCTCAACTAAGTTCAGGGCATCATTTTATTGAAGGTGTGTTGGGGAATGACTAATAATGAAGAACCCCTCAGATATAGCAATGTTGTTATTCAAAACTCAGTGCTTCAGCATCATGAGATTCCTAAGCTCTGCCAAGGTTAAAGGAGTTTTCATTCAATATAGAACCAGCCTTCTGTCACTGAAGAAAAAACACTTTACCTAGAAAATACAAGCATCTCAAAAAAAAGAATCACCAAAACTTAAAACTGAGTAAAGTCTACCTATATTAATAAGTAAAAACAGAATCTTCCGAAAAATATTCATTTTAAAGTCAGTTTACATAATCAAGAAACATGGTTTGAATTAGAAACTATCATAACAGAAATTGATTCTGATTCATTTTTCATGTCTATGAGAGGATGGTTTCTACTTTTATTCATCTGCACATCATATACTTACCTTTGGAATGTACCTTTTCACCAATAGCAGGACAAAGACTAGTGTCATTAGAACACCCAGCAAGGTCCCTGAACAGTAATAGAAAATAGGGCTCCTGTCAAGACAAGCAGATAAAAGTCACGTAAATGCCAAGTAGCACTTTCAGTATAATAAAAACATGTTTAACCTGGCGACAATAGCTGTAAAGAACACTAAGAAAGATAAACTCAAATACAAGCTCTAATTACATTCTGTAGTCTGAAAAAAATGAATTGGGTACTTGAAATTTATGATTGTTGGACACTAACTGAAAACAGAACGTTTGAGTTATCGTGTATATTCAGAATTTGATCTAACAATAATTACTGAGCAAGCATCATCCTGTAGCGGGCACTTGTCTGAGAGCTTTATGTACACTCACAACAGCCTGTGAAACAGCTATCCATGTCTAAGTGTTATAGAAAAGGAAAACAAGTCACCAAGAAATTCAAAGACCTTCCCCCAAGGTCTTCTGCTAACTGGAGAATTCAAGATTGCAGCCCTGCTCCTCTGAGTCCAAGCTGTATTCTTCATGTATGTATTGCTTTGTTTATAAAGATCATGTATTACTTGATTATGCTATAAGGAAAAGCTCAAAAGTGAACAATGTTAAGAATGGTAGAAAAATGTTGGGTTCTAACTAGCATAAGCAAGCTAGGAACTAAAATATTGGAAAGAGATTCCTTTTCACAAGAGAAACTATAAGGAACAAAATATTTGAATAAAATATTTATCCAAAAGTCAAAGATTGGTTCAACCCAATGCTTTATATTAAAGCCACAAATCCAGGAAGGCAGTTCTGATAAAATAAGGCATCTGGCATCAGAAAACCTAAGGATAAACCTCAGCCCTGGTAAGAACTACTTTTGTGAAGATGGATGCTGGTGTTCTCACTTATAAAAAGAAAAGATTACAGAGCTCACATGGTTGTTATGAAAATGTAATAAAGTATGTTCACTTACAAAATAAAACTGTATGTGAATACTTTCTAACACATACACAGTATGTTAGATGAATTCCTGTTACTAGCTTCAAGGTTCTTTCAAGCACTGTCTTCAGAACTATTGTTTGCAAAACCTAAAAGTAAGAACTACAAATACACGGTATATAGTGTGGAAATATTTAGCATAGGGTCAAAAACTACCTATACTCCTTTTGATTCACAAAGTCAAAGATGTAAAACAGAATACTTACTGACTCAAGGCCCTTGCATAAAAAAAAAGGAAAACGCCTGCCACAGAGATAAGGAGGAGTTTGAAATCCACAGCTGGAGATAAAAAAGACACAACAAATAATTTGTGTCAATGTAGTGTTGGCGAAAGATGAAAGATGTCAATTTACTGAAATATTATTCCAGAAAAACTGAATTCAGAAAGCCAAGTATAATACAGACTTACTGTTGCGATTTATGCTTATCTTATAGATAAACAGCCTGACAGGCTTCACAGAGAAGCACACGGTCTGCCCGTATGGATTGATGACTATGGTTACTTCATTAGAGTCCTTTGGTGTCCAAAAGTTATGAATCATACATTTGGTAAAAGATAAAATGGTTTCTGGATACTGGCAATTATGTCTTTCTGTGATATATACAATACTGAGCAGGCCCGGACTGGTAATTTTCACCTGCAAAACATAGAACAAACAAATCTATAAACACAGAAGTAAAGATATCTTAAAAGCTTCTTAAATAACGTGAGCAGAGAAGTAAAGAAAGCCTGAGATTGACTGAGTTGAGAGCACTCAGCATAGCATGGTCTTTTTCTGATCCCAGGGTTGGACTTTAGAACTGTGTTTAGTCCAAACACACTGGACCACAGACATGTTTGAAAGTGGATGTTTCTTTCCCTGTGCCATGATTGATTTAACTCCCTCTTCTAGCAAGTTACTGTGGCTAATGAAGATGTAAAAAAAGATGAGATCGACAGCAATAGGTAGCAAACTATGCGCTTATAAACATAATAAAAATAGGTTTTAAATCTTCCCCATTGTCTACTGTGATTAAAAAAAAAAAGTGTTTCCTTGCTCTGGATCAGCCAAGCATATGGAATTCAGGCTTCTCTTACCAGGCCTGCTGAAGAAGGTCTGGAACCCAACCTCAGGTCCTATGCAGGTTGTACAACAAAGTACTAGCTGGAGGTCAAGCAGAGGGTTATAATTCTGCAGCCACCTTGTCCCTCTGTCTCTATTCCTTTTCTTTGTCCAAGAGTAGGACAAGCCAGAAAAGGGGGTGAGAGCACCGCTCTGAATGTCGAGCATCAGGTATTGCCCACTCTCTACCAACCTGTCCCTCATCTCTCTTTGACTATGGCTCCTGGCTCACTGGGGCTCTCTCTCCAATACTACTATCATTCTTGCAGATTTCGGTATAACAATATACACATGAAGAATCATCCCAGTGCCACTCAGTTCCTGGAACTTCTCTCCTCTTCTCTCCTCTTACCTTTCCCTCCACCCCCAACTCAGGTAACCACTCCCACAGCAAACCCCCACCTTGTTGGTACCAAACTACAGCCTCTCCATATATTGTTTTGCAGTTGTTCTACTACCTGACCTTTCACCTTTCCATCATGTCTCCTTTACCTCCCAGGCCCCACCAAAGATCTGAGTATCTTTTCTCTGCTCCTTACCCCTTGATTCTCTTGGTCCCTTTTTACCCAGCCAAGTTCCACGATTGATCATTACACACCATGCCCTTGCATGTAAGCTTGACTCACTCCTTTGCATTCCTCTAGCTTTGTCACGTTTCCTGCAAAATCCTAAACTCAAAATCCCCCAAACTCTCCACATATTCTACTCGTGCAGTTGGTGGCACCACCAAATGTGCCCGGAGAATCACAAAGTGATCTCACTTCAAAGCCATGACTGTGAACCTGAAGTGAGACCTAAAACCTACAGTCACCCAGACCTCATATCCCTAGCCATTCATTCTTCCACTCTCTTTACCAAGTGAGTTCAAATTTCTCCTCCTCAATACTTCCACACCTCCTCCTCACTCTTGGCTGATGGTTCTTCCTACTTCGCTGAAAATGGGAGAAGTCAAAAGTGAATGTCGACCTGGCTCCTGTCCTCATTAGCCACCCACCTGTCATGTGACAGGTACCTGTTCTGCAGGCACATGGTCTGCTTCCTACCTGTGATGGGGAAATTTCTGCCACAAAGTAAAGAAATGTACAGGCTCCATTAAAAGCAAGCCCCTAAATTGCTCACTGGATCCTATCTACCTTTGCGCACTCAAGGACGTCCCACCAGCACTTCTTCACTCTCCACTAGCTCATTCCTATCAGGATGCAACATTGCTCTATTTTCCATTTTAAAAAAGAAAAAAAAAATCTTCTATGGGCTTCACTTCCCCCTCTAGCTATCACCCATTTTGTTGCTTTTCATTGCAATAAAATTCCTTCAAAAAGTGGCCAATACTGATAGTCTCCAGGTCCTCTCCTCCCATACTCTTCAACCCACTTCAATCAGGCTTTCATCCCCAACAGCTGCCCTGACAAGGTTACAAGAACCTCTATGTCACTAAATCAAATGTCAATTAATTCCCAGGCAACTTATCTGATCCACCAACACTACTGGGTACTGCTGTCATTCTCTCCTCCTGGTTACACTTCCTACTCAGGGCCTCCTGGACATCTCCTTCTTTACTTGACGCTTCCTCTCTCTCCTGTGCCAGCTCCTTTCTTCTGCCTGACCTCTTTTTTTTTTTTTTTTTTTGAGAGTTTTTTGCTATAGGGTGCATGTACTTGCCAGAAAGACAGAGAGAGACAGAGATATAGAAAGTGAGAAATCACCCCCCCCGAGGGGGATGGCCATGCCGCAATCCCTTCTCCATTCTCCTCTCAGAATCTTGGGCACGCATGCACATGCGCCCGGCGTGAGTTTAAGCCACCGGGTCCGGGACTTGAACCACGGTCGGATACATGGGAGTTCAGCGACATAGCCATTAAGCTAACTGCTCGTCCCCTGACCTCTTAATCTAAGATAGGCCCAGTTTCAGTCAACGGTGCTCTTCTTTCCTCCATCTAAACTTACTGCTCAGTCTCGTGGTTTTAAGTGCCACCTACACAGTAGCTTCCCTTATCTGAGGCTTCACTTTTGCAATTTCAGTTACCCGTGTCAACCATGGTCTGAAAATATTAAGTGGAAAATTTCAGAAATAAACTATTCATAAGTTTGAAATTGTGTGTCATTCTGAGTGGTGTGGTGAAATCTCTAATTATCCTACTCTGTCTCTCTCAGGACATGAATCATCCCTTTGTCCAAAGTTTTTTTTTGCTGCATATGCTACCCACCTGTAGTTGTCTTGGTTATCATATCAATAGATCACAAGAAGAATGCATACAGTACAATTGCTTTTTCAAGACAGAGAGAGAGACCATATTCATAACTTTTGTTGCAGTATTTTATTACAATTGTTCTATTTTACTATTTTAATTATTATTTTATTATTAGTTATTGTTAATCTCTTACTGTGCCTCACTTATAAGTTAAATTTTATCATAAGCGTATATATGTAGGGA